GTTCTTGGACTACAACTCCCAGAAATCCTGACCAGCACAGCTAGTGGTGATGGCTTCTGGGAGTTTTAGTCCAAGAAAATCTGGGGACCCAAAGTTAAGAACCACTGCTTTAGAAGCTTTATTTTTAAGACAAAGGAGTATCATGACATGACAGAAGCCATCTATATCTGAGTAGTGAGAGGATGATATTCTGGAGTCTGCCACTGACTCAGTTATAGTCAACTTCAAAATTAGTCTATATTCATTCTTCTGAAAAGTAACTTTCTAATTTATAATTCCTCCCCACCCCTTATATTAGATCATCGTGCTTTCCTGGAACATCAGTTCCATTGGCAATAATTTATGTCAGTTACCTTGCTCGAAATTGCTAAATTCTGCACTTCTCTGTGCTGCCTGATCCATACTATATCACCGATTCAGTTAACTTTTTATTTGTTTATTTGTTTATATGTCATTCTTTAAAAATATAAAGAGCTTTTTTGATCCTTACTGCTTTCATTGGTACAACCATTCAAGGTAGAGACCTGCCCATTTTAGAAGTGAAAAATATAGGCAGAGTCAAGGGCATGCCACCAGTCATGCTTCCTGCCTTGACTTTACCATCCTTTCCTCGGCACCACCAGTACTTCAATGCACCACAGATCCATGATCCACTTAGGGCAACCTTGCGAAATGATTCTGTCCTCTGCAGTCTTCAACCAGTTGATCTGCAATACGATTAAGATATTCATCAGTTATATTTATGGAACATGGTTTTGAAAGCTATATGACATTGAGGGTATATCCACACTAGAGAAGGGGGAAATTATTTTCTACGCTTCAGTTCCTCTCTATTTTTTAAACTGGGGGAACTGAAGGGTTTATGGTGCTGGATGGGAGTTGCATCATGGACCCATTGGGGTACAGCCCCCTAGTCAAATTTTATCTACAGTGGTGCCTTGCTAGACAGTTACCCCGCATGACAGTTTTTTCGCTAGACATTGACTTTTTGCGATCGCTATAGTGATTCGCAAAACAGTGATTCCCTGCTTTGCAAACCAATTTTCGCTACACGACAATTTTGACAGCTCCCTCCGTGCTGGCAAAACAGGTGTTTTCGGGACCTAAGCTTCGCAGACAGCTATTTAAACAGCTGATTGGCGGTTCGCAAAGCAGCTTTCCTATGGCCAATCTTCGCTAGACAACGACAATTCTTCCCCATTGGAACGCATTAAACAGGTTTCAATGCATTCCAATGGGGAAATGCTTTTTGCTAGACAATGATTTCGCTAAACAGCAATTTCAGTGGAATGGATTATTATCGTCTAGTGAGGCACCACTCTACTCTGCATTAGAAGGATCTAGGGTTCTGCAACCTGGTCCTCTGGATGTGTCCTAATATAGCTTCCAGATTTGTCAGCAGTATGGTCTTGGAAAGCTGGACAGTTATGTGATACTTTCTCTTTTTTTTCCCTCCCCTTTACCAGCCTGTGGGAATGTTGCTGCTGGTGCTGAGGATGAGGGCGAGTCTGAAGCTGGCTGGATTGAAGGTGCCGCCATCCTGCTCTCGGTGATCTGTGTGGTGCTGGTAACGGCCTTCAATGACTGGAGCAAGGAGAAGCAATTCCGGGGTCTGCAGAGCCGCATCGAACAGGAGCAAAAATTCACAGTCATCCGCAATGGACAACAGGTCCAGATTCCTGTGGCTGAGCTGGTCGTGGGGGACATTGCCCAAATCAAATACGGTAAGTAAATGTGGTCAAGCAGATTAGGGTTTCCTTAGGATGAGTCTGTTTGGATTCAGGCAAGATTTTTGACAATTGATGGCTGCTGTTAACCCGTGAGTCTGCTAAGCCAGGACTGGTGCTCAGGAGACACACCGGATGATATATCGGGCAGTTAAGTCCACTGACACCATCAAAGCAACTGGGATGTGATGTCTTCTAGGGTTGGCCCTTCTCTCAGTCCCTTCTACCACCCTCAGATGAACATCCGGTGAGAAGGTATGAGAAGCCTTTTGTGGTGGTTGCTTCTAAACTCTGGAACTTATTTTCAAGGAAGAATAGACCATCTTGCTTTTTTCCTTCCATTGACAGGCTAAGGGTTTGGATTCAGGCAAGATTTTTTGACAATTGATGGCTGCTGTTAACCCTGTTGGTTCTCTGCTCTATGGATTTGTTTTAATTATTCTTTAATATACTTGTATTTTACTATTCCAATTACTAATTCTTATTCTGATCTGGTTTGAGCCCTATTTTTTCAGGGGGGATGATCTAAAAATCCAGTCAATTAATCAATCAATCAGTTAATCAGCCAGCTGATCTTGAAAATCAAGAGCCACTGTGCTGTAGCAGTTAAGTTTGTTAAACTCCAGAGGTCCATGTTCTTGTCCTAGTAAGCTGTGAAACATGCACGGCAGTCATGCTCTTGCTCAGCTTGACCTACATCACAGGTTGTTGTGAGAATGAAATGTTGTGGAGAGCCATTTATATCACCTAGAATTTATTAGAGGAAAAGTGGGATAGAAATGTAATTGAGAAGAATCCCAATAGCTGCTCAGGAATTCTCAAGTTCTTCAGCTGCAGTGTCAAATGGGGGTGGCTCGTAGCTGTGGAGCATTTGCTAAAAAGACATCTCTCATAGTTGTGGGGCGTGGATGTGTCATCTAAGACAGTGGTCCTCAACCTTGGGCCTCGCATTTGCTAAAAAGACATCTCTCATAGTTGTGGGGCATGGATGTGTCATCTAAGAGGATGCAGAGGGATCTACAGGAGGAGCCATAATCTGATATGTTTCTGTGGATTGGCAGCTTTTCTGGCAACACTGGCCATATTTTCTATACATAGCATGTGGGTGGAATGGGGTTAAAGAAATCAGCACCCATAGTAGTTCTGAGATGCAGAGGAATCTACAGGAGGAACCATAATTTGATATGTTTCTGTGAATTGGCAGCTTTTCCATTATGGGGGAGGCTCTGGCAACACTGGCCATATTTCTATACGTAGCATGTGGGTGGAATGGGGTTAAAGAAATCAGCACCCATAGTAGTTCTGAGAAACTGAAGTTAGTGACAGGATAGAAGAAAGTACCTGGAGATGACTAACAGTGCAATCTTGTGCATGTCTGTTGAAAAGTGACAACCACAGAGTCTTATGGGACTTAAAAAACAACAGAGTGTTTCTTTACAAAATCCAAATGTAGAAGAGATTATACCTTTATTTAGACTTCTAAAAATCAAACTTTCAGCACAAGCTTTCACAAATAAAATTCACTTCATCAGGCACAGGGTAGAAAAATTATAAATAAATGTCCTAAAATGGTCATCACACAAGATGTCTGGCAGACGTATTGCTTAAGGTGAACTGAGGGCTGGTTTCAACCAGTTGGTGTGCGTGTGTTTTTAAATGTCTCACCCCTTGGTGCCATTTGGTTGGAATTTTCCACTCAACCTCCAGGATAGGAGGTAGTCCCTGAATGTACTGGATGGGACTTATTCTTTCTAGGTAAGTGGGCATAGAATTGCAGCTTACATTGTTGAACCTATTGCTGTAACTTCTTTTTTTTCCCCCAGGTGATCTGCTTCCTGCAGATGGAGTGCTGATCCAGGGAAACGATCTCAAAATTGATGAGAGCTCTTTGACAGGGGAGTCAGATCACGTACGCAAATCAGTGGAGAAGGATCCCATGTTGCTGTCAGGTATGAGGCAGAGCAATAGGACTTTTAAGATCTCCAAAAGCAGTCCTTCTCTCTGTTCCTTCAGCCAGCCTGACAGGAGCATGTAATGAGGATATGAGAAATGTTTATAGCTGCCCCCAAAGTCTGCCATTCCTTTTCCAGGAAAGCTGAGAAGAGATACTTATCCAGAAAATCAGAAAGACCCTTTCCTGATTGGGGTACAGGGCACTTTATCCTCGAATGAACAATGGAGTCCAGATTTTCTAGCATCAAAGAGTCTTGCCCTGTTGGTTGTTGTGGGTTTTTCGGGCTTGGGGTACAGGGCACTTTATCCTCGAATGAACAACGGAGTCCAGATTTTCTAGCTTCAAAGTTGGTTGTTGTGGGTTTTTTGGGTTCTTTGGCCCTGTTCTGAAGGTTGTTCTTCCTGACGTTTCACCAGTCTCTGTGGCCGGCATCTTCAGAGGACTGGAGAGGAAAGCCTTCAAGAATACTGTCTTGTCCTGTGTTGATTCCAGTCACCAGTGCAGATGTCTGCTTTGTTAAAAAAACGTTATTTGGGATACACTGACATAAACACAACATATAGTGTTTCCCCACATGGATGGATCCCAGAGCCCATTTACTGTGCTCTATTCTAGAGGGAAACACAGGTCCTGGCAACAAACTATGATTCATTCAAGAGTATTTGTCTGCAATTACTGATTAGAGCTGATGTTACTATTAAGTAGTGTGAGGCAAATGCCTCAGGTGGCATTTACTGAGAGGTGGCAGCAGGTCCCCCAGCAGTTCATCCTGCGATCCTTGGCCATTCTCAATCAAACAGCTATGCATTCCACATGGCCTCTCTTGCACTTCCTAAACAAGTGTACTGCCCTTAGGTGTGGTGGATGACACTGCCCCACCAGAGGTATACATATAAGATTCAAATGGCAGCCCAGGAAGCCTCTGGCCATGGGACAGAGAGGCTGTCATCTTGTCTTTGCCTCAAAGGTAGCAAAATCTCTACTGATGTTCTTATAGAGAAGCCGCCTTTAACATCGGATATCGGCATTCCCTAGACCTCAATTTGAGAGCCACTGCCGTAGATCTTCATTGCTAATGGCATATGGTTCACATGGTATGCTGCCGAGGCCCCTAGGGCTTCACTGATGCCCAGCCTGACCTGCAGGATCTGGTAATGAACCCAGGGAATCTGACCCTTCTGCTCCTGATTTGGTTTCCAACTAGCAGACTTTCCAACTTCCATCTGATGTCCCTCTGACTCTTCCTTGGATTTCCCAGGCACCCATGTCATGGAGGGCTCCGGCAGGATGGTCATCTCAGCTGTTGGCGTCAATTCACAGACTGGCATTATCTTCACTTTATTGGGTGCTGGTGGAGAGGAAGAGGAAAAGAAAGATAAGAAAGGTAAGGTCTCCCCCTCTGGCCTCAGTAAGCTTTTTGCTCATGTATGTTGGTATTCTTTGTGATGCATCTCAGCCTTCATGCCTTGTCTGCCATCTTGTTTGCCAAGATGACAGATCCATCTCCTCATCCACAATGTTTTCAGCGCAAGCTTCTGACATCTATGGTCAAAGCATAGTAGTAATAAGTCAACATATGTCATCACGGTTACAAGATGACTGGAACCTCATTAAAAATATTGCCTTCGAGGTAATCAATTCATTTAAAGAGGTTGCCACCATTCATTATGCAACAAATGCTGTACCTTCGAATAGTCAGTACTTAGTATTCAACTTTCATAGTGAGTTGCTGCTGGAGCCACTGCTATCATATTAGCTCAGAGGCACTGATACATCACTATAGCACAAACATTTAGCTGGCTGCTGACTGACCCTGTGCCACTAGATCATTCAGTTTTGTGAAGTTGTTTTGCAGGGATGTTCTCATAGTGGCAGAAACATATCTGGATTCAGGGCCTTGCAGGGGCTGAGATAGAATCTGTACTGGTGTGGACAATACATACATGGCATTACAGATGTTCTTGGACTGCAACCCTGTACATTCCACCAGTCCTCCCTCCTGGGGCACCAATGGGGCTAGGGTCCCCTGGCAATAATTCCATAAGCTCCAACTCAGCTTCTTGGCTCAGAACAGCTTTTATTAGTGGTATAGCATTACTTCTCTGCCTCCCCCCCACACACACACACACACACCAGTCTCATGGGGCTGAATTATAGCCTCTAAACCTTTGGACACCACTTGCCAATGTGTAAACCCAGTTAACTTCACTGGAGGGCCCCAGAGTCCAGATTCTGGAAAGTAGGAAGGAGAGGAGAGCTTAGGTCCAGGACTCACCTCTTTTAGGGAAGGCTCGTACAGATGAGCAAAAGAAGTCAAGCCCTGCAGCTTATCTCTACCCATCCTCTCCCTTTGCATCACTTGTCTCTTCTGGGCTGTGGCGGTGTCCAGGCTAACACAGCCTTGTCCAAGCATGTGGCTAGTGTCTTTGGTGTCTTACTCCTGCTGCAAGTGAAACCCAGTGAGCGTAGATAGCTTTCTTCTCTTACATCTTCTCACACTTCTCTTTGAAGATAGGCCACCACTCTGTGCCTTCCCCATCCTGCTCTTCTGTTCTCATTGACCCTGCCCTCCTCCAGCTGTTCCTTGTCAGGCATGCAGATCTCCTTCAAGTTGCACAGACTTCCTCCCTGCAGCTTGATACTGAGGAAACCCGCCCTGATTTCATCTGCCTAATGTTTGCGTGCTCGAGCCTGGTGGCTCACTAGGGGTGTGTGCCCACACCTTCTCACAAACTCGCATATAATCCTCACCATTTACTGTGCTGGCTAAAGCTACTGGGACTTGCAGCCCAACAGCATTCAGAAGGCTACACTTTGCCCACTCTAACCTATAGCCTGGAACCATCATTGGTCTTCTGGATCTAAATGGCAATTGTGTTCAGCTTCTGCCACTATGTGTAACAGCTTTACAGGAATATATAATTCTCCAGATGTCAGAATACAGTCTTCATCAGCCCTAGAAACCACAGTCCATGACAAGGAATCACAAGAGCTCTAGTCCAGCAACATCTTTCCCCACTCCTTACTTTACCAGCTTCCCCTTCCCCTCCCATTTTTTGATGGGACCCTCACCTCTCCCTTACCCTAACCTGCCCAGGGACATCTCTCTCTCTCTTTTTTTCCAGGTCTGACTGCAGTTTACAGACCTTTGCTTGCACTTCTTGCTTATTCCCATTCCTGCCCTTCTTGACAGAGCTGAGCTTTCTTCGGTTTACTTGGTCCCCTGGTCTTTCTTCTCATGGTGTCCTCCACGGCCATCTCCACAGGTTGCCCACATCAAATTCTGACCTCTGCTTGCCTCTTGACCTGCAGTCCCCATTTTGCCTCTTCATTCAAAAATGTGACTGAAGGTTTGCAGGCCACTTCTCTCGCCTGGAAGATTGGGAAGCAAACCCATTCCTATTCCTCCACCCATTAAGCACCGAACACAATTGCCATTTAGACATTCTTTCTGGCAGCTGACCCATGAACCGCTTCCTCTTGCAGCTGAGGAAATTTCAAAGGACCCAACCACTTGTGTGCAAGGTGCTGAATCATGTGTTTCTTTCCCGTGTGATAGGCATGGCTCTTAGATAAAAAGAAGGACTGCCAGTTCCTTGAGAAAGTGGCTTGTTGTGATTGGTGTTTCCCCCACTCATGTGACTGGCCTATTTAAATGTTCTTGCTCAGCTGTAAAGGGATAAGTGACTCCCACACAACTGGCGGAATTTCTAAAGGGCACCATGGTGTAATTGCATTTGACTCGCTGCTCTTGGCAGCTCTACAGTCTTGAAGTTTGACTCAGCCTGCTGAATTATGGCTCATCATTTTTGGAGAATCTGACTCTGAAAAAGTGACTGCTCATAGCTTTTGCATTTGATTCCTTACAACTGGGTCTTTAATACAACCAGGGTTCAAATCCTTAACTAACTCAACCCACATAAATTGTAGACAAACAACCATAACTCGCTGTGCATAAAAGAACTCATCCAGTTTCCAAAGAAGAATCAACTATATAAGATAAATGCTCTTTTCCAAATCCTTCAAATCAATTTTTTCTGTTCCTTCCAAATAATGACCAATTTAACTCTTTACTAACTGAAACAGTTGGCATCCAAAATTAACTTGATCCACAGTCATCCTTTGAAAGTTAACTATCACCAATTGATTCCTGATCAAGGAACACTAATTAATACCTCTGAATTATCTTCGGGGAACATGGAGCTGAATCTGTCGAGACTGAACCAATACCATCATTAACTAGTTCATTGCCAGGGATGCACGCTCTAATGCCATTATTCACAGACAACAATCTGTCTCTGTGTTAATCAGCCTTAATGCCACTATATAAATGTGTCAGTCAGTGTGTCAACCAAAGCCACCCCTAAAGCACCCAGTACATCTCAGAATTGATCCTCAGAAGTGATGAACTGGTGCCATCCTTTAAATTCATAGACATTTTCCTAACATCTCCTGTTTCCAGGGCCTAGTCTGATGCAGCAACCTTGCTGAAGTAGAGAAAACATAAGTCTAGCCAGTACCTGGGAAACCGTATTTGAGTCCTTCATACACCTTGACTTCTTGAGAATACACTTAACAAATAAATAAATCATAATTAGGCAAGAGAGAGAGTAGCTGGCATTTGGACTCAAACATCCGTTATTGGCTCGCTCAGGGGTGCCATCAGCAATTGCTATCTCAAGCAGTTCGAAGACAATGGTGAATAGGTTCACTGTCATGATGTATTAACTCAGCCTGTTGCTCAGTGACTCTCAGTGCATCCGTAATGACGCAGCACCGTAAATCATTAATGTCAGTAATGCAGAATATGAAATGCTACAAAGATTATGGTATATTTAACCAGTGCCAGATTTAGCTGATCATCGCCACATACGAACCTAACAGCTAATAGCCTCAGTCATGTTATTTAACCAAGTCATTTGTATCTTATCTTTCAAAGTAAAAAAAACATATTCAGAGCCTGCTTATAATATCAGAAATGAGAAAAGGTTCTTTTTGGGTTACAATCCTCCAAGTCCCCCAGCTACAGTTTTAAAAAAATACTTTTCTCAAGCTCTGTGGTACACAGAAAACCACGCAGAGTGAAGAGATTTTCATGGCATATCTGAAATGGGCAGAAGATTGGGCTTCCTCAGGTGGGTGCCGCTACTTACCCGCCACTTCCCTATTGTGGTACCACCACGGAAAAGGTTCTATCCCTGCTTTTCATTAATTTGCTGTTAAGTAATGATGGGCCTGAAAGGTGTCCCTCCAAAGCTGATGCTCTGATCAATTCATGCAGGTGGTGACAGATCCTTCATATAGTCTGATCCTTGACCATGTTGAGCAGTCATCTCTAACCTAATTAATCCCTAGGTGTGCTGGACTACAGTTCCCATCACTCCTATTGTGTATGGCCATTGAGTATCCTGGGTGAGGAAGATGGGGGGGGTAGTGTTCAACATAGCTAATGAATGATTTTAAAGTTCAATGGAGATGCTGTAAATTGAGGTTAGGAAAAAAAAACTAGGGTTACCAGAGCAACTGAAGTAGGTTCAATATAATATGAACTGATTATGTTGCTCCCGATGACATTGTGTCATTTACTAACATCAATATACAGTTTCTTGTCAAGGGCTTTATTTTTGAGACCCAGCAGCATGAATATTAACTTATTACTGGTTAGCCTGACATAATTAATTGGCATAATTTCTGTAGATGATCCTCAGTCCAGTCTTTGGACACTGACCACGTACTGTCACTGACCAATCAGCAGTTGCTCATGCCTCAATTTTAGAATGAACAAACTGTTCCTGAATGAACTTGAACCCAATGGCATAACTAACAGACATTCACTCTCAGCGTCATAGCCAAGGGTGTTTCCAAAACAGTCCTCTCGTCTCATTTCATGCCGCATCTCTCCCACCCACCTCCCACCATTTTCCTCCATTCTTTTATATTCCATGTAGACCCAAATAAAGGAAAAGAAATCCAGAAACAAAAATATCTGTCTCCCAGTATGAAGACAGATAGACAGGTTGAAGGCTGGAGGGTGACACTTCAACATTGACCTGTAAACATTCATGATTTACCCACCCCTTTCTCTTCTAGA